CAAACAATTAATAAGGAGCACTACTTCAATGTTCTTGCTCAGTTGAGAGAATACAAGGAAAATAGCCACAGCTATGGGTAACTGATGATTGGCAGTTTCATCAAGACAACACGCCCACTCATGTATCATATGTCAGAAATTTTTGGTGAAACATCAAATCACGCTGTTGATTCAGGCTCCCTACAGCCCAGATTTGGTGCCCTGTGACTTCTAAAACCACCTTTGAAAGGGAAGAGGTTTCAGAATATAGAGGTGATTCAGGAAAATACAATGGGGTAGCTGAGGACAATTCCAACAAGGGATTTTGAAGACGGTTTTGAACAGTGCAATAGATGCTGGGAGAACTGATTGGTGTCCCAAGGCGCCTACTTTGAGGAGGCCTGAGGTGTCATTGTCCTATGTACAGTGTTTCTTATATCTTTTTCAATACATATCTCTTTTTCATAGCACATGATGGCTGGATAATTTCTGGACAGACTCTATATACTCATAAGAATTATTTTTTTACTATTAAAACATTAATTCCTAAAGCAAGTGTAGCAATGAGTTTTCACCTAAAAGTGCTTCCAAGTCCAAAGTAGCCTTTTTCCTTAGCATCTAGGTTCTTTATGATAACAAGGAGAGAAGTCAGCTATCACTGTTTATAACTCATGATAACAACTGAAACAATGGTGACCTTGTCTATTTTGCAGTTAAATGTGCACAATATAGTTCTCTCTGACAGCAGAGGAAGCTCTTGGAAATTAAACTTAAAATTGACAGGAGAGCAAAGGAATCTCAGAGCAAAGAAAGTCTTTATCAAAGTTTTAAAGATAAAAAGAAAACAAGATATTACATATTAAATTAAATTTTACTAAAGTTAGAACTAGCAATTATTTTGACTAAACTAATGGGGTGGTAATATAAAGCATTTTGTTTTGGTAAACTTGTTTTGAAAGAAATCCATAGTCTGAGCAAGGCACAGTTTTGTGATAAAAACATCTACTTGGTGTTACAATTGTGTTTTATAAATATTTAAATGAGCTTAATGAATTATGGGGATTTTTTTCTTTATCACACCTGAATATATTTGTTATTCTAAAAGTTTTCTGTTAGTCAGCAGAAAGGTCACACTCAAATTTCCATTGAGAACATTGCAATAGACAATGAAGAATTTGGTGGATATACTCATCGCATGGCAATACTTACATGATTCATATATGGCCCTTCAGAACACCATGATGATAAACAGCCAAGGAAGTTAAGAAATTGCCTGAGTGTAGAGTTTAAAAAATGCCCAAAGACAAAAGGTTGGCGATTTACTCTCTTAATAACACTTGATGAATTGTCAAACTCTTTTAAAAAGCACATTTCTTCTTTCATAGAAAATAGTAGATTACAACCATGAAAACCTTGGCTTCTAAAATGCACAAAATTCCCACTGATACCCTTGATCTAAAGGCAGTTTTTCAGAGAAAAAGAAGTTTTATTTCCTATGGCTCATATATACCCTAATGTCCACACCTCCACAAAGTAACCAGTTTATAAAATTACTTTTAGTTATTGGATTAACTTTTCAAAGCTCCTATATTAGTTTAGTTAAATAAAGTCTTCCTAGAAGCAGCAAATAGGACTTCAGTGACATTTTCAATTTTAGAGATAAACTGCTTGTGTTACAAATAGGGCTATCTTACAATTGACATTTTCACTGAATATTTTATTGCATACTTTTGTGCAGTATTTTTCAAATAAGTTATAATTTTCTTTTTGTAAGGCATTTTTTAAAAGTGAAATCCCTGTATTTAAATGTTTTGAATGTACTGCCCTTGTCTTGTTATTTTTGTATTTCTCATTTTTACCTCTAGTTCATGAGAAACACAGTAAGTATAAAAGAATAAGCATAAATAAAATATTATTAAGAAAACTTTGAATGATGTAGTGTAATTCTTTACAAAGTATGTTATAATGGCAAATTTTGCATGTACATATAAGCATAACATAAATGAAAATATATATGCTCCTGTGTATTTAAATAGCATTATCTATTTATCTATAAATTAAAATTATCTAATAAGATAAAATTAATACATTTTTGGCAAATTGGAAATGAATATTTTTAAAATATTGGCTTTTTTCAAAAAAATTTTTATTTTATTAATTTATTTTTAGAGAGGGGAAGAGAGGTAGAGAGGGAAACATCAGTTGTGGTTGCATTTCATGGGCTGGAAACCCAGGCATGTGTGCTACACTGGGAATTGAACCGGTGACCGTTTGGTTCGTAGGTCTGCTCTCAATCCACTGAGCTACATAATCTAGGGCTGGAAATGAGTATTTTTTAAAAATTAGAACAAGTGCCAGAGTTTGGAAGTTTCAATTCTTTCCTAACAACAAGTAAAAAAGACTGAAAAGACTGCAAAATTGAAAGCTCTTCATAGATCCATAGGAGAGGATAAGAGAAAGGAAAACCACTGCCCTCAAAATTGGGGCGACAGAAGGATATATTCAGGGAGCCATGCCTTATCTGAGCAGGGACTCAAGTGGAAAGCACCCAAGGAAAATGCACCCAGGTAGGAGAACTTGAACTGTAATTGACAAGTTGATGAAGGTTCAGTGTGGACAATATTGAAAGCGGAAAATGTCAGGCATCACAGCCATAAATGGTTCCACGCAATACTGTGAGATTCACCTCTGCCTCAGCTAGGTTCCCACAGTAAATATTGTAGAAAACACCCCTTGGGCAAGAGGAGGGTTAAAAAAAGTAACCATTTTTAAATACTCCAGAGCACTTTGTTTTTCTTGAAAAGGTTGGCCCCTCAAAGGCAAATAGTTAACTGGGGCCGAACCAGATTGGGTACTGTCAGGGCCCAGCTGATTTGAAATAAAGGGAAATGTCCAGCTGCAACTCACTCTAGTCATCCCGTCCCACCTAAGAGAGAAAACAAAGCAAACAAAACAAAACCACTGAAAATCTCTTGTGTAATTCACAAGTTCAGAGACATTCTTTATTTACTTTCTTTCCTACCCTATCTGTATTTTCAGCTTCCTATTTGTCCACAACCTTGTCAATGGCCTATTTTTCTCTGTTCCTTTTATGCTTCTCATATCCCTCCCATTAATATTCTTATTCTCAGATCAATCCAAGTGTATTTTTTGCCAAGTGTATTTTCTGCTGCTGGAGCATTTTGCATAGACGAGCTGATGGGAGTTTTCACAGATCAACACTTTCCAACTTCAGCCAGGTTTATAAGACACACAATTCCATTATCAACTGTTTAAAGTTTGTAACAATCTTTCCAACTCTTAATTCCTTTCTTGCCATTTGTTACATTTATTGTTAAGTCCCACTCAAAAGGGAGAACAGGAAAGTAGGCAAGAATCTTCCTCAAATTTCTCTATTTATGCACTTAATCTGCACTTTATTCTGCACTTATTTCCTTCCCTGCTGCCATAGGTCTCTCTCCTTCTCAAACCCACCTTGAGATTTCCAGTTGTCCCACTACACTATCTGGCTTCTGCCTCACTCTCTGATATTCCCCCCTTCTATATTCAGCCACTTTCACTAACTTTCCACCTCGTTGACATTCTTTCTGTTCAGAGGAACCTCCAAGGCAGTTCTCACATCAGGACTTTCCACTTGTTGCCTCAGCCTATAATGCTCTTATCACATCTATATGTGCTGCCTCCTGCCACCTCAAATACAGCCTCTTCAATGAGTACTTCCCTGACCACATAGCTCAAGTTTCATCCTTTACTAATCTGTTTTCATTCCGTTACTTAACACTCATCACTATCTTATTTATTTGTTTTCAAAATATTACTGTCTATTTTGCTTCCCAGTCAACTCTCCTATAATATAATCTTAGAGGGTCAAACACTATGCTTTCTTTTTCATCATTTTATTTCTAGCACACAAATTGGTTCCATCAAAATACTAAGTATTCCATAAGTATATTATACTAAAATGACTGAAGTTGTCTCTCAACATTTAAAAAACATAATATTGGCATCAATACTCTAAACATTGTTGTAATTGATCTTTAATATCATACCAAATAATAAAAATAAAGAAAAATGAAAAGTAGGATAAATTTGGCCCCAATGTTTAAAAATAAATTTATTTTCAGTAATTTAATGCATGTTACACAATTCTACTTTATCCTTTATCCCTAATATTAAATAATATCCCTAATATTATTTAATTGTGAAGATTCTACAATATATTCTGAAAACTGTCACTATATATTATATATTATGTATATATAATGGATACATATATAATGTATTCTTTTGATATAGTTGCTAGAAATACACTTTAAAGAGACAACATTCAGAATGATAGCATAAGAAACTACTTGGACCCTGTTCTCAATTAAACAACTGTAACTAGTGAAAATAATTCTTTAAAAAACCTCAGTTCTTCAGTTATCAGAAATCATCCCAAGGTCACACAGAAAATTAAGAGAAATAAAAAACTGCTAAATCTTTGTAATAACAGCAATAGATTTTGATACTGAAGTCATGACCTGATCCCTCCTTTCCCCCCAGTTTAATATGATGGAAGATATACCCCAGGCCAGTAAAACATACAAGGCAACCTCCTTCCGCAGCTAGAGGCTATGATATCTTGACAGAAGATGCAGGCCACCAGCATTACTCATTTTGTTGAGCTATACTTAGCAGCAGCTTGATCCCAGAAGAGAATAGCTGAGATGTCTGGTATTCTCTTTTTCACATAGACTCATTCACAGAGCAGCAGCCCTAAGCCAGGCATGGAAGGCTGAGAACACTAGAGCCTCGAACCGCCTCACTTCAGCTTGCTCGTAGTGTGGAGGTTCCACACCAGGAGAGGTGAGCCAAGAAACCAAAGGCCAAAATCCTAGCCTGCTCCCTCCCTCAATTTGAGTCAGAGATGTCACTCAAATAGAAGCAGGTCAGGACACTGTTCCTTCCCTACCTCCAGAGCAATATCAGAGTTTGTCCAGGGTGAGAGGATGGCTGTTAGAACATAAAGGGTTTTGTTTCAAGGGAGAGCACGACCACGGACCCCCACTACCACAGATTAATGCAGTCTAGTTTCCCACATTTGGGGAAGTCACTGGGGTCAGCCTATGCAGAGTGCAGAGGATAAGCCTCACCCTGGGAAAACCACCTTCCTGATCATGGTATCTCCCCTTCCAGGTAAGTACAGGAAGAGCATCAAGTTTCAAAGCTTTCTCTAAAGTCATTGACTTTATTTGGATCAGAGTGAAAGTTCAAGAATAAAGGTGCGTTAGAAAACAATGGATATTTGGTGATGAGGAATTAAGATGAAGCTGTTAGCTCCATGAGAACAACGAGTTAAATTATAGACCATCTAAGAAGTTTATCATAGACAGCTAGAGAAAAAAGGTAGCAGAGGAGGAGGAGGCATTGTTGAAGTCATTTTCAGAGGTCTGATATCAAAACTAAACAAAGAAAATTAAAGACAAAGTCTCTTATGAATATAGATGCAAAATGTACAACAAAATACTAGTAAAGGGAATCCAGCAACATATAAAATAATTATGCACATGGTACAACATGCATGAACCTTGAAAACATCATCATAAGGAAAAGTCATCTATCACAAAAGACTACCTATTGTATGATTTAATCATATAAAATGCAAAAGAAGGAAAGCTTTATCCATTTTATTTACTAGTATCCAATCAGTGAATTGGCAGAAGGGAGAAAAAAAGAGAAATAATGTATAATAAAGTTATCTTTATTATACAACTAGAAAAATAATGTTTGAAATACTGTGAGAGAAATCTCTACAATTGTACTTAATGATCATAAGATGCTGAATATGTTTAAGAATAAATTTATGAACATGTTATTTCCTCAGTTGTTCTGTTTCCATATATCTCATATGGAGGTGATCATCATTACTATGGGCTATCTTAATATTTAAGGATGCCCTTCTCTCATGTAATAGAAATATAAGAACATTTTATTTTGTACATATTTTATTATATAAAATGCATTTCTATTTGTTTTCTACATATATTTTAACATTCATAAGTGCATATAAGAAACATATAAGTAGTGGAGTCCACACATTACTTTACTTTTTAAGTAGATTTTCTTATTTTATTTCTGTGGAGTCTTATAACGTCCACTTTCTCATGTCTCCGTCTCTCACTTGATAGTGTCTTCCTATCAGCAGACAAATATGCCTACACCACTTGCATGTTAAAATAAATTAAAGAAATACAGTCAAACCTTGTTTCTCAAATGCCTCGATTCTCCAATACTTTAGTTCTCCACCAAGTTGCTCATGGAAACAATGTCTCGGTTGTCCAGGAAAATTTCCAACTCTGGTTTCTCTACTGGACAACTCTTGTTCTGATACCTGTATGATCAGTTGTGCATCTCTCAGTTAACAACAAAGGAAATTCTGTTTTTGAATAAATTGCTTCTCAAATAGTTTTCCAGAGTGAATTATGCTTGAGAACTGAGGTTCCACTCTTTTTCTTTTTTTAATTTATTTTTTCAAATACATCTGTCTCTGCCTACCCCCCCACCACTTTCCCTTGCACCCTCCCACCTTCCCTCCCTCAGCTCTTCCCCTTTGGTTTTGTCCATGAGACCTTGCTATATGTTCCTTGACTTTCCCCTTCCCTTCCTTTTCCCCGCCCCCCCCCTCCCTCCTTCCCTCTTGTCTCCGTTGATTTCTTTTCCTTTCAGTGTTGCTGGTCTTATTTTCCTTGCATCTTTGTACTGTTGGTTAGGTTCCACTTATAGGTGAGATCATATAGTATTTGTCTTTCGCCCCTGAGGTTCCACTCTTGTCTTAATCTTCACTTCACCATCCAGCACATATGCTCCATATTCACAAACTACATGAGCGGAAGAGTGCAAAGGGGAAAAAATTGAGACAACTGCAATAAAATAACAATAAAAATTATTAAAAAGAAAATATAAACAAATGGAACTTACTATGGAGCATTAATTCCCAACCTTATAAAGCTCAAAACTGTTATATATGTGTTATAGAGAATGTATATGTTCATAGAGCATATAAGTGCATGTATAACTGTTTCTATACAATTGATTTGAAAGTAAACAACTGTAATATTTTGGTATAATAAATCTCAAAAGGTAAATAGTCCAATCATTGAAAAAATTAAAGGCATTAAATTAAAAAGTAGTATTTGTTGAGGAATAATAAACTAGTTGAATTCTACATCATTGATCGGGGAAAAATTGAAGTAAAGAGAATAAAACAGGAAATTCCTAGTTTTGTCATAAAACTTATGAAAATACAAATTTATTTTTATTTAAGACTGGAAATGTGTATTCAAACACATCTCTGGTATCTCTATTTTAATTCTTTTTTTTTCTTGGTTATATGATTGATGTTATTGAAATAAAACTGAAATGACTCATTTTTGAAAAATACTATTTTTTTAATTCAGCCTCCTGATCCTAATCTCAATGATTAATACTCATCTTTCCCCCTTTTTTTCTGAAGGATGAGCACTCAGGTTAATTTCATCTTTGCCATGATTTTTATAATGCAATTAAATTAAGCATGTGATGGACTAATTTTTTTATCAGTAATTAATCTCAATGAGTAAACTAGGTTAATTGTACATTAATTTTGGATAAAGCTTTAATTCATGCACTGCCTATTCACTACTGAGTATACACTACAATTCCATGGCTTATAAGATTAAACACTATTTATGATGTTCTTGATCATAGGAGAATAACAATGTACAAAAACAAAACAACAAAAATCTTAAATTCCTTTAAAATAAAATATGTTTGTGTTTTGAATAAGAATTTTGCAATATTTGTTTGGTTTTGTTTATTCTGAAGCTTAGGGTATTCTTTCATGCCTATAAGCTCCTTGGTTTATGCCCTATGCCTTTCTGACTCATGAGGTTTGGTTTTTTTGCAAGTGTGTGGATGTATTTTAAAGCATGTGTGACCAAAAGAAAATAAAGTAGGGACTTTAAAAAAACCAAATCCAAGTGCTACTCATCAGAGGAGAGTTTTCGGTCTTTGCTTTACAAATCAAAGAAAACACAAATCTTTTTGGAGTAGTTCTGCATCTAGCTTTATGGTCTTACTGACATTGATTTTCCTTATAACATCGAGCTTTCATTAAAACTAATGCTTCACATTTATATAACTTGACTAATTGTAAATGATGTGCCCCTTATCCTTTTAGAGATATCCCATATTTCCAAGAAGTAGAATAGAGAATATAGATATCCTTTGTTGATTTCTTCCTGTACACTAGACTTCATTTACATGAAATATATAGAAATGTACTGAGGCTCAAGCTTGTGAAGTAGTAATTCCAGAATTAACAATGAAGTTTCCACGTGATTGTGGATGTATTCTGGGAAATATATTCTATTTACCTAACACGATTTGGTAAAACAATAATTGTAAACATTTAAATTCAAGGTAATATTAATCTGTATTTTCTTGAAAAAATCATTAGATCTATCAATACTAGGCATTCATTCTTGCAAAAGGTTGCATCGTATCTGCCTATTTAAAGTTCCCAGACAAGAACACTTTCCTTGTCTTCATAGACATTTGTAACTGCTAAACTGGGACAAGAATCTAGATCTCTTGAATACCATATAATATTCCTGCCCTTCATTATACCATGCTGCCTCATATGTTGCCTGGTCATACTCGCGGGAAAGGGATAAGAAGCCCGTAAGAAGGCGAATGCTCAGTCCTCAGGAGCTCATGTTACCATATTGCAAATACAAGTGTCCATCAGTAGATGAGTGGATAAAACAGCTATGATACATTTACACAATGAAATACTACTTGACCATATAAGAGGAAAAAATTACCTTTTCCAACATGGTTAAAACGAGAATATTATGCTAAGTGAAAAAAGCCAGTCACAGAAAAACAATTACTATATGAGTTCATTCATATGTGGAATCTAATGAACAAACTGAACTAGCAAGCAAAATAGAAACAAATTCATAGATAGGGATCAGTGGTAGAGGTGGTTAGGGAAGGTGGAGGGATTGAGCAAAAAACAAAAAAAGAGAGAGAGAGAAAGAAAGAACTCATGGACACAGAGGACAACGGTGTGGTGATTGGGGGATGTGGGGTAAAAGGAGGTGGCAGAGGATATAGGGAGGGCAAAGAATAATGGAAAAATACAATAAAAATTTTAAAAACAAGTATTCCTCTTGTCCTTCCATTTTGTCATGTTTCCTTCTTTTTTATTTATACTGAGAAAGGTACTTAACTTGTACTTTTTAACTTGACATGTAACAAATATTTTGTTTGTTTATACTGAAAACAACTGAACATGGAAAATTACTGGGTTTCCAGATTATATAAGGACTGGAGAAGAAAGCTCCAGGCTCTGCCCTCAGGAAAGACTCCCAGAATAATTGACCAGAACTTATCTTAAGAGATCTGCTCTAATTAACAGTAGAAGAAATACGAAGAATGAGGAACTTGCCACTCCAACTGTTAGCTTGCAAACCAAATTGTCCCTGCTACCAAGTTGTTACCCAGGAACCAGAAAGCTACCTTCAAAACTATTGAGTCCAAAACCATACTTCTTCAGCCATGATCCTTAACAACAAAAAGATTGCTCCACACCATGATAAAATTTGCTAACGCAAAGATCAGCTAAAGAAAAGAAATGTTCTCACCCCATAAATTCCAAATTTCCTGCTGTATGTCTGCTTAATGGAAACTGAGCCACAATCCAAACCCAAGTTGCAAAGCACTCTGCAGAATGTATTCTTTGGATTTCTGACCACTAGCATGCAGTGACTTTTTATAGTTGAATATACTTCAGTGCTGTAAAAATGATGCACAGTGATCTCTACATCACTTGTTAGAACTGTAAAACCTCAAGTCCTACCCCAATTCTATTGAGTCAGAATCTGCATTTTAACTAGATTATCTTAGATTCTTAAATACATTGAGAATGAGACTGTAGTAAGTCATTCTACAAATGGATTAAAAAGGACAGTGTGAGTCTATCAGCCACATCTACCACACACACCTTAAGACCACAGGTGTCACATATATGAAATGAGTACTTTTTTTCTTAATGACTTAAGATTATTTCATAACAATATTATTTTATCTTTCTAATTATCAGTAATTTCTCTGGGTCAAGACTCTAAATTTCACATTACAGAAGACCAATATAAGCTGG